AGGTCAAAGGGCTGCGGCGTCGGCGAGCCACCCGAGGCAAACGCCCACGCGGCGAGGGGCACCGCGAACGCAGCGAACTAGGCCAGCGGGGGCGGCGCCACCGCGGGCACCGCCGCAAACAGAGCAGGCGCCGGGAAGGGAGCCCGCGCAAACACCCACGCCGGGGGGGGGGGGAAGGCTCGGGGCACCAACTCGGTCGAAAGGGGAACGCAGACACGGCGGGGAGAGAGGTGGGGAGGGGGCAGAGCTCAGAGGTAGAAGAGACTCGGTCGCCTCTGGTATGCGCAGCGCCTGCTGTATGCCCGGACGGTCGTGGGACGTGGCCCGGCGCTTACTCGATAGCGGCCCCGCCGGCGGCGGGGAGGGCACGGAGTGCGCCGGCCTCTAGCTCACCGTCCCGGCGAAAACGAGGGGTCAAACCCCGGGCAGGCGTCGGGCGGCGGCGGCACGCACGACACCGTGTCGACAAAATCTCCCACCGAATCGTACCGTATTGGGCTTTGACGGCGGCCTCTCCGTTCTTGCAGTCTCCCATGAACACGCTGGCGTAGAGACCGACACAGGCGGCTTCGTAGTCTCCTCCGGCGTTGCTTGCGAGGCGGGTGTTGACGTCCTCCTGGTGGGGTGGGTGGGTGGGGGGGGGGGGCATCGAGCTGAGGCACACCGGTGAGGGACGGTGCTAGCGAGCAATTGAGAATAGTCACAAGCAGCTGACCTGAGTGAACTGGAGAGGAGGCGGGAACGGCTTGGAGGTCACGGTGCACACGCAGCCGCACACGTTTTTCGTGCAGGTGATCGTGGCCAAGTCGACGTCGTCGTCGTCGTCGTCGCCGCCGTCGGCGTAGTCGTCGTCGTCATGATCGAGCCGGCGCTTGGTGGCGATCTCGTTGAGGAACGTCTTGGTGCCGGGGGCGGGCGCGCCGAGAGCGGCGAGGGTGACGGCGTAGAGCATACGTGTATGGTCAGGGTCAGGTGATGTGCGGTTTTGCAGGGAACGGCGTGGCGGGTGCGATCTGTAATCCGCTAATGAAGGAGAGCTCTCGCACAGCTGCCTCCAGCACTCGTGCGACGTCTGAAGATGAGCGCCTTCTCCATGCTGGGCGAGGGCAACCGCTCGGAGGCGTTGAGTGCGGTCGAAGCCAATGGTTGGGTAGTAGGTATAGAGGTCACACTTAGAGCCTCTGCAGCAGCAGCGAGCGAGCACTCAACTTAGCCCCCGCACGGAGCCGGGCTGAGACTCAGACGCTGTTGGTCGGGGGCCATGAACTTAGACGACATAAGGCCAACTCCGGGTAAACCCCGGGTATACCTGAATAACCTCCACGTCCAGGCCTTTACCCGAAAAATACCTGGACACGCGGCCCGACCAATCGCAATCCCGCAGTGCGCAAACGCATCGACCAGCGTCGTAAGCGGCAGCTCTATGTGCGTGGTGTATGTGCGCACGACGCCAAGTCCCTCGAGCCAAGTCCGGTGCTTATCGTTTGCTTTCTTTCTTTATCCTTATGATACTAGGTTACTACACACTTGTCCCGCCCGGGATGTCCCAGCCGGGCAGTTACTCACCTGCGAGACACACACACACAAACACACAAACACACAAACACACACACACACACACACACACACACACACACACACACACACACACACACACACACACACACACACACACACACACACACACACACACACACACACACACACACTCA